CATTCAGTTTACAGTTTGCCTAATAAATATCTTTCTTTTTCTCTCGCTCACCCATTCTGGATTTTCACCCAGATCCAGGAAATTGACACTGACTGACATTTTTTTCCATAAAAGCATTGTTTTTAAGTGTGTGACTGAAACTGTTGTCCTTACTAAATTTATCTAGTCACAACCATGATGTCAAAACAAAAGTATATTTTCATCAGAGAAAGAGCCTCACTGTCAGTTTAATTTAAGTAAACAGTTTTCTTTCTTTTTTTCCTCAAGAGTTCTGAGTGCTTGGAGAACTAAAGGGCAAAAGCAAACTACAAGCAAAAATAAATTCCTCAGGAAGGAAGCAAATAGGAATAAAGTTGTCTGGGGAATTTTAAAAAGTCACACTTAAAAAGGGGGCTATGCTTTGAGATCAAGGGCTTTTCTTCATTATAAAAAATGTATGGCAACTCTTTTGCTAAAAGAGCATTCACATACTCACAAAGATATGTATTTCACTTCTTTATGTGCACTGTCGCAAAAACAAAAAAGGGCAAAACTGTGTTAAAATATACTGTTTATCCGCAATCTTGTATTATTAGAAATATGACAAATTACAGGGATTTCATTGTGTTCACCGCATTAGCAGTCCATATAGGTAGCCGCTCACTGAAATGTTCCCAGTCAGCAGATAACAGCTCAGCTTTATCATCAAATTGAATTTCAGAAAACTTTACTTCTATTATAAGTTGTTGTGTCAATTTTAATCTGTGCAAGTTAACAACTCCGCATCATAGAATGTGTGTTGGAAAAGAAAAAAAAGCACGCCATTGGAAAACAATATGCATTGTTGTGTTTGCACACAACTCCAAAGTACCAGCGGCAAATCAATAGGAAAGCTGCAAGATTTCATTAGGTGAAGAGCCCTTGTGGTGACTTTCCTGGAAAGCAGCACTGATCCAACAACTTGTCAGGACCTTGTAGTCGATTACAGCAGGGATTTCAGAACATTATTAAGGGTTCAGGGGTCAAATTGTACACTGCTTATCCTGCCTGTTGGGACTTGCTTTAATCTGGAAGCACTTTTGAGCTGATTGCATTCCTCCTCATTTATTTTGCACATCACATGAGACTTAGAGGATTGTGATCCATACAGAACACAGCGAGGCATCGTGTTTTTAGCACATAGGGCATTAAACAAAAAGATTTAATGTATGCTCCATTTCACTGAGTACATATGTTAAAGACAGATTCAAATCATCCATGTTGGGAAGCTTATGCAGGATCTTTACATCAACTACAGAAATATGCCAATAGAAAATAATGACAACTTTTTTTTTTTACTGTACATGCTATTCCTTAACAGATTATGTCAATAATGTTGATCCATCTTATCCAAACATTATCTCATCATATACAGCTTGCAGTAAAATACCTTATGAAGTACAAAGATAAAGAAAGTTAAAGTTAAAACAAGTCACTGCAGTAAACTTCTAGTTCTTCAACCTTTTGTGAACTTTATTTAGTTCCAGAATTAAAGAATAATCTTGTGTTTTGCATAACTTAGCCCATTTACCAAAACAAAAAACTACAAAAAATGCATAATGTGCGCAGTGCTACTAATCCCCGGGATTAAGCAGGTTTGAAGTCCTTGCATGGGTTTTCCACAGTTTGCTGCAGGGAAATATGGCGTGAAAATGGTTAGCCATAAACAAACATTTGTACACTAGATTTATAGTTTGCTAATTTGCTAAACATGCAGAAACACTGATATGGTTCTGTTATGGATAAATAGCAATTGTGTTGTGGCAGAAATCCCAGTTCTGCATCAATATTAGAATTACATCACCTGCCAGTCAACCCCGGTATTCCTGCCAGATAGCACTTACCCACAGACAGTTTTCTCTACATTCAGATTTGTCGCATAAATTATTTAAATGCTATTAATTTAATATCCACCTTTTTCTATTTGTTTGATTTTTGCTTTTTTTTTAAAAAATATATTTGCCAAACCCCTATCTCTGTCTATAAGATGAATAGGAAAGATATGCCCAGATATAGATGTGACTCTGCATTAAGATATTTCCAGTGCAGCTAGGATTCGGTTCAGGTATACATCAAAGGCAGATGGCCATCCTCAAGTGTCAGCGCCCTCGGTATCAAAGGGTTATAACTTTTAGATTTAAAAATTTGCTCTAACATTATCTGAGGGTGGATTTTTCTTTTAAGTCCTTCAAATCAGCTGGCAGCAGGTGTATCATCTCCAGTTACAGAGTTTGAGGGTAGCTCCAAACTACTAAAGCTTAAAAGAGAAAAAATAATGACTTCCCGGCACTTATTCATCTGTAATTTGCCCCCTGTGAGATTTGTCAGATGTTTGTAGCTGACAAACATTTTAACAGCACGCCTTTAGCTGTTATTCAACATAAAGACACACGTATTATTATAGAAAAACATTATTACATAGTAACTGGGAGGTATTGTTACATATATAAAGTTTAACCTTCTGACTTCACTGCTATTCAGCTGAGTCTGTTGATCAGTATAGTCTCCAGGACAAAGTCCCTCTATTGTTGAGAAAAATTGGACATTATTATTGTATGTTGCCATGTATAGCAAGGCCAGGTCAGGATCCTTTTTGATAGAAATGATCGAAGGCCGCATGATTCATTCTGTCCCTTCTGTCTGGGGGGAAAACAAACAATGGAAAAAGCTTCAAATTGAAAATGGCTGACCATCCTTCTGCTGCTTATTCCTCCTAAAAATAGTACCTAGTGACATTGGAGTCACAGTCTCAAACTAAAGATACACAGCTTGTCATAGCTGTTGTAAACTGTAGTGTGAAATAATGTTAATTAGTGTTAATTAGTGTTAATGCTAATTATGTGAGGAAACTAAACACTCCGCTAACCCATTTCAGCCTTTACCCGTGAAAATATGGTTAGAGGTTCATATCTCTTTTTCTTTCTTTGAAACCTGCCTACACGGATCCATTTCTCAATTTTAACAACTACAGAAAATAAAGCAAAACAAAAGGTCATCTCTGGTCGATTTTAAAGAGACGAGGGGGGACACTGTGGGTCAATGGGTACAAAGAGTCCATTTTAAAAAACTCCACCAGTTTAAGACTAGTAAGGAAAGTGCTAAATCAACCTAACTAAGAGAAAAACCTTATCCATCCATCCATCCATCCATCCATTCATTCATTCACTGGCTTTACTAGAGCTTATCCCAGCACACACTGCACTGTGCACTGTATTAGCATGTCAGAAAGAGCTAATTGTGTCATTATTTGACTGAACTGACACATTTTTGATTTGCTTTTTTTTTATTTGATCAGCTCAAAAAAAGCTATCCATCCCATCCATCCATTCGCTTCCGCTTATCCTTTTTCAGGGGGGTGCTGGAGCCAATCCCAGCTGTCATAGGGCGAGAGGCGGGGTGCACCCTGGACAGGTCGCCAGTCTGTCGCAGGGCTTCAAAAAAAGCTATCAAACAAAATGTGTATTTTCATATATATCATTAGTTATTAGTTAGAAAAGTCTTACATAACAGCTGACTGAAGTTTGGTCCGTTTACAGCATCCTGCCATGCGATTGCTTTTGTCCCTAACCAACGGGAACCCTCACATGAACTTTTATCAAGTGGAAAAAGGTTAGCGTTCACCCTCCAGCTTCACTGTTTATATCATGCTAACATAGCTGTGCCGCTAGCAATCACGTAGCACATCACTATATACCAGCTAGTTCACCTTCAGTAACCCTACAAACATCACTGCTGTTTACTTTCCTGTCTTCATTTATGTTGGAAGTGATAGCAGAACTGTATGTTTTAATTTGTTTCAGGAATCTCTCAGTCAGAACATGGTATATTGTTTTGAGATGGAAACTAGCGAGCTAACTTCCTGCTAACTTCCTGCTAGCTTCGAACTCCGTTAAATTTTATAAATTCTGTTTTCATGGATGCCTGGATGTTAAACTTAATTGTTACACCTTGTAAAGCAGCAACGCTGATCATTTTTATTACAGATGAAAGAATTTAGACAGTTTTTAACTCTCAGTGATGCCGCAGTGATCATTTGACTTTGGGATCTGAAGGGGAGCCAGACTGAAGCTAGACACGGCTGATGACGTCAGACTTAAAGACCGGATGGTGGAAAGAAAGAACTCACTATAATATATTAGGATATTAAGATAAGGCTCGTAGTATCCTTAAGTCACACTGTTTTTTTGTTTTTTTTTTCACAGCAGATGAACCAGCTGAAGGCTCTGCCTCCCACTCTACTTTCAGACAGCAGGTAAGCCTGCACCCTTGGAATGATCTATTGGGATGATATGAAACTAGTTCTTTAATCTACGATCACTCCCGACTTTGTACATGTATGAAGGATTTTAAATATAATTCAGCATTTAACAGGGGCTGGAGGAAGAGAAGCTAATATAGAAAAACTGGTCTTCCTTTCTAGTCATTTTCTGCACTTTGGATCAATTGAAGGCTTTTTATGGAGCTTTTAGAACAGGAATTACAGTAGTCCAGCCTAGAAGTAACGCATTTGTCAGCATCACTCTGGCTGAAGAAAAAACAGTCCTAGATATTGTTTAAATGACATATCCTGCTCAGTAACGACTCCAGCACCATAGTAGTTAATCCAATATAATAACATCCAGACACCATGACAGGCAATTAAAAGGAGATTGGATGTTTGACGAGAGTACTCACTTGCTGGGCCCATTGCATCTTTAACACACTGATTTCAAAATGTTACACTTTCAGTTGCTATAGTATTTTCTGCTTCAGCAGTTCACACTGATGTGTTTCAGGTAGGGGGTGCTGTGGGGATCTCTGTATGAGTTGGGTAGCTGTAAGACTCACACATGTTATGCATGTTTTAAAAGGATGATGGTCTTTAACATGAAGTAAAAGGCTTGGTCTCTGAAAGCATAATCATCTAAGAAACACAACAACACTGCGCCTGCATCTCACTCTTTATCAGAGGCCCCTCAAACTCTGTTACTTCCTGGCAAAACCAGCCACGATCTGATAGGAAGCATGACACAGTTTACACACACGCCGCCCAAGAGCAGTTCTGCAATGTCTGTTTTAAAAGCTACAAACTGTCTCCAGTGTTATAGTCATTTATCCTGCAGCCTGTTGATTATGATAATCAGCTAAACTTTTTAAGGATCGATTAAGAAATTCAAAAAATCACTTTTTGCATTGGCATTTTCATGTCAAGTTGCACTTCTATTTAAAGGTGTGATGACCGTACTGGGGCACAACTGAACCCATGTAATCTAAGATCTAAGCTTAGGTCTTAGATTGCAATAACAGGGGCTTCATTGTAGCCTGAAGACTAAATTTTTGCAGGGAAGACTAAAAGTAGCCAGACTATCAAGTTTACTGGAATTGCACAGTCTTTGTTTTTGTCTTGTATATTGTATTTCCATGCGTGTTTACATCTTTCAATACAATCTTTCCCTCATTTCCCTTTTTCTTAATATAAATCAATGTGCGGTGGCTCAGGGGTTTTGCACTGTACCATAACTGATTAAGGAATAAGACCAAAACACAGAATTATCGATGAGTTTTTAACTGGACTGACACCAGCAACAGAAAGCCTTATTGCAAACAAGAACTGTTCATCCTTAAATTGGATGGGAAATTGGAGGTATCATTATTTTCATTAGTTTAAGATTGAATTTAGTGTCTTGTAGAAAACAATTTTATTATTTCTGTGGAAAAAGAAATTATTTTTGGACTAAAACAGTGTTTCCCTCACACTTTAAGTATTAAGATATAAATCTTTTTGTATTTCTTATCATGTCCCCAGTCCATTTTTGTATCAAAAGCTTCGAGTTAAGCCACCGTGTTGTGTTTTACAAACGGAGTCTTTCTTTTAAAAGTATCCACAAATTACTTAAAAGCTATTTTTTTTAAAGAACTTACTACTAAAACTCTCTGACAATTTAAGGGGAATAGTACCCTTTTCACCTTGTTCGCAAGAGTACATGCATGCAATAATTTGAAATATTGTGAAATCTTGATGAAAAACCACACATCACCACAGATGAAACAAAGCCAAGGGATGAAATTGGGGAGCAAACTAGTTGAGTCTGAGGGATTCAGCTCACATTTGCTCAACTAACATTAATATTTATCATTTGCAGAAAACTGTGCTCGTGTATATTTGCTTTTTAAATAAATTCCTATAGAGTGAGTTCAGCTTAACCTCACTATGTAATCATACCATGAGATAATTGATAGAGCCAGTAAATAAAGAAATGAATAACATGAACCGTGTTAAATATATGATGAGCGATGAATGTGAAGACTTTATAGCTACAGAATACATGTTTTCATGTATATCAGTGGGTACACTGGCATCATCCCACATAATGATGAAGGAGGAGAGAGGTGCTTTGAACACCGTGAATCTCACACTACCCCTGGCTCTTTTCAAGGGGAGGTGACGATTGCTTGGCTTGTCAGCCTCCAATCCTGCCAAGCGCTCGACAGACCAAAGGTATGGACGGTTCACAAACAGAATTTTTAAATCTAGCCTGGATCAAAGGGCTGAATAGGAAATCACAATCAACTGGTAAGAATGTCAATGAACTGCATAATCCACAGCTATCGGAGAAGACAACAGCAGGAGGTTTGGGAAAAGCGAGACAAAGTTTATTTCACTTTTGTCTCGAAAGAAAGGTTTATTTCTCGTTAAAGATACTTTAATTTGTCGGCGTCCTTTCTTCCGCAGTCCACCTGTGACGTCCACAAAGTCGCACCGATTCAGCAAAACGTATATATATCCCATCTTTCTTTCTTTGTGTTTATCTAGATGCTGAAACGCTTTCACTACAGGGCTCTGAGATGTTATCTGCAACAACTGCTCATAATTTCAGCTTTCGACTGATAACAAGCCATAAAAGCAGTAGGACAGATAAGCCTTGTGGCTGTTGTGAAGCACAGAAGGCAGGTGGACACAACCATGCCAGGTCAAACTGCAGAAGGTTGGGTCCAGCACCAGATGGTTTGTCTTGATCAGAACACTTGACTGAGAAAGTCCCACAGCTGCCTCAACAAACCCAAAGAAAGAAGGCGGCCTGCCAGAATAACAGAATAACTAACTGTTGTTAGTTCAGTTCCTGAAAATAAAATATTCTGGAATTTCTCTGTAAGTAACAATTGAGATGGTGTTTTCCAATAAATGTAAGCTGTAATTGTATTAGAAAAATGCTCCTTTTTTCACGAGTGAAAGTCCCAGCTTTATGAGGTTATAAATGTGTTCCAGGGCTTTAACTCATCCTCTCTGAAAGTGCACTCTTCTCTCCTTTAGCAGGCACACTTACCTATTTTATCCAGCCTACATTTTGAGCCTTGACAACACGAAAGCTCTAATTGTCACAGAAGAACTGTGTTAATTTCTTTCATTTTGATGGTGGTTTGGTCCCGTGTTTGAGAAACCTGTGGCCATTCATTCAACAGTGTATCTACAAGTGTCAAAGCCACTGTTACAGTTGGTGGTGCTACACTATGTGTGCTGTGTATTGACATAACAGTGCAGTTTGAGTTAGACCTTGTCAGATACAACAGACAATTGAATTCTCCAGCTCAGCTTGCACCTAGAGAAAAGCACAACTGCAAAGTCAGCTTTAAAAAAAGCGTGAAAGAAGTGTGTGATGAAATCCCACTGTGCACACTCCCTGAGACGCAACAGTAGTTGCAGTATTTTTTTGTTTTTGAATCTTGTTTTAGCCATTGATATAAACGTCTTGTTTTTTCTTTTTTTTTTTAATTCAATTATTAATTTTTATTGTTTTTTTACAAGAGAAACTTTGTCAAAGCAACAACTACAGAAACTCTCTCAACATTTTAAAACTGGATATTTACCACACAGAGAGCAGCATATATGACAAGATATGAAACAGCAGTAGCTGACATTAACAAACATCTCTAATGTGAAAGATAAAATTCGCATTTTAGTAACCGACTCTTGGATAGAAGATTATGAAAGTTGCCTGTAGAGTTAAATAGGTTTTTTTCTTTTTCAAACTGAGACGCTGCGCTCCAGCACGACAAAACAGTTAGAGAAGGCTCAGTGGAGTAGCTTTTGTTGATTATAATGCCAATACAGCCTCATGTACTAACTGCTTCAATCTACAGTATTAACAGCTGAAGGCTGTTCTGTGGACACCTTTGTGTGTACCTAGTTGCTTCAATGTAAATAGTTCTTTTGGCATAAATATCTTTCTTCAATAGTCTTTTGTGATTACCAGCTGTGCAAAGCTTGCATTAGAATGCAACACACTGCCCTTTGTGGTCCCAGGACCCTTCGCTAATGCCCCGCAACTTTTGTATGGCAAACCCAGAAAGACGGCATTAGTAAGCATCCCTCTTCATCTTCCATTGGTTTGTTTAAAAGACTTTATAGATTATAAATCCAGTGCAATACTGAATAAATACAAAATCATTTATTTTGATACTGTGTCAAGCAGTGCCTAATAATGGATTGTGTGCATTTTGCAATTATGCAGTTTTCTATTAATTAGTAAATTGCATAGGTTTTCTATAATGTGACATAGCTGATTGATGACTATTGTGCGTATTACTGTTTCTTGCACTTTCTTGTGCCTATTTATATACATTACAGACTTCTTTGACCCTCATTTCAGTCCACTGGCTGTCCCTTTTTACTGCCAACACCCTTCAAACCTCTTTTCTGCTTTGTCCCTTTCTCCATCATTACAGGAGCCACAGGAGGGGTGATGAAGCTATAAAGCCTCATTGAGATCTTGCCCCCAACCTCAGTCTCATATCTCAGATTCCTCCCTGCAAAAATTCCTGGCTTATGGCTATCATTGATTCTCAATCACACCTCTGTTCATCCTTTTGCGTTTCCTCCTCCGGACCCATCACGTTCAGCCTTTTTATTTTGTTTGGACAGAGTTGAAGATAGATATGTACATACATTTATTAGCGCTCGTCAATCCTTCATGATATTAACACATATGTCATAAATCGTATAAAATGATGGTATCAATATTCTCACAAATGAGAATCTTCAAAGCCGCAGAATCCACCTCTGCCGTTAAATCAGCCTTTATTATTTATCCGCTCACATCATTCGTCATGTAATCCTTCATGTCCTCGGAGACAGCGGTTATACTTTGCTGCCTAGAGAATTTTTGATTCCCTGACCAGTAGAGTGTTTTCCTTATCTGGAATCGCCCTATGTGATAAAGGAGGCAGTGGCTGTGGAAGGCTTCAAATTAAACTCATAGCCTATCAATTCTCATTGTCAAGTGACTAAAATTAGTACTATGTAGCTCACCAGCACCAGGTTTTAGTCCTACCCCAGCCCAAACATCTCTGATAGAGAAACAAGCCCGTGTGAAGCCAGTGTTACCTCAAAGATTCCTGGCTGCTACACCGGCACACTATCTGTAAGAGTGCGCATTTGGCTCACTGTGACTCTTTCAGCAGTGTGTGTGTGTGTGCGTGCGTGTGTGTGTGATTATCTTTCCTCTCTCTCAGACACCACTCTGATGTAGACTTTCTACCTAGGAGTGGTTACTTTGGGGATGTTTATACTTGCCAACTATCCACCCCACTTTATTTTCTCCTTTTTTTAAAAACCCTGAAACACATTCCTTAATTTCAACATCACAGTCCATTTAACCATTTTAGGATCTACATTGATTCCAGCCTTACAGATCCTTCTTTGACTTGGCTTTCTCTGTGAGCACCGGAACCAATAGGTGGCAATGTTGGTCAATCGGTTTAACAAGTCATCATGTCAGTCAGTCCATCCAGCAGTGATCTCTGCAATATACAGGAGGGAAACATAAACCATTCACAGAGGATTCACTGGCTCTTTTCTGCTTGCTGGTTTGGATATGATTTCCTTTCCTCCTTAGAATAAGATTTTTCATTTTTCGGTGTATGCAGCATTCTTTATAATAACAAAGACACAGGCAGTGTTCAGTTATACTGAAGGGCTGACAGAAGTAAATATGAGGAAGTGGTCTCGGAGAGGCTGAATCAATTGTGGGAGGAGGAATTAATGCTGGGGACAAGATAGTGCAAATCCAGCTTCAAGGGATTTCAATCAACACTTGGACTGAGCCTAAAGCATACTTGGTCTGGCCTTGTTTGTAGAAGAACAACACTCACCAGCCCACATCAGACTTGTCAGTAGCACAGTCCAAAAAATGCCCCATTCTGCAAATATCTTAAACCGGGCCATATTTGAGCTAAGTGTCACAGGAATCAGAGTATGTTTTTAGATGCTAGTACTTACAGACAAGTGACAATTTAAAAGAAAACAAAACAAAAACAGATTTCTGGCCCCAACAATGAGAGAATCTGGTTGGCTATTGATCCAAAATTGTTCTGAGTGATTACTTTTATCCTGTGATGAATCATTTCTAGCCTAATGGGAGTGGTCTATTGCAATCACAGCATCCACAGGAGTCACTGAAAAACCTTACCGTACACTCTGTAATAAACCTCAACCCAGCTGAGCACCCATGGAAGATTTCTGATTGTGTTTAACAGTCCTCTCCACTCCAATCACTGAAATGCCAAATATATAAACATCTTTTTGAGGAAAATGATCTATCCTTTCAATATCCTCCAGTTCCAGACACTTATAAAATCAATGGCATGGCACACTGAAACAGTTCCAGCAGCACATGGTGGCCTAAAACCATGACAAAACCATTAATGAGACACTTTATTTTTTACTTCAAACTGTAAATTTAGCTTGTAATATCATAGTTTAGAAGAGTTCTAACAGATAAGACATTTATTATATAGTCAAAATGATATATTTTTACTATACTGTATAAATATTTAACTCACTGAACAACTGGCATTGTAGTTCTTCTTTTAACAGGGCAAAAAAGGGCATCTGAAAAGTCAGCAATAATAAAAGCAGCCACATGAAATAGTGAAATATAAATATAATATAAGGTTACATAAACATAATGCAGGCACAATTTGTACATATTCAAAAGTCGTTAGGTTAAATATTTTAAGATACTGAATACAGTACGTCATGTTGCCTACCTACACACATGTATATCAAGATAGCATGACAAAACATTCAAAGATTAGGCCCCGCCACATAAGCCTGGAGAACTGTGGGTGACCATTTGGGAATCATCACAAGGGAAAAATGTACATGCTCCAACCAGTTGGTGAGTGGCTGCTGAAGACTGTTTCTAGTCACTTTGAAATAGAATGGAAATGCATTCCTTGCAATTGCTTTGGATACCTAACAGTAGCTACAGTTGCAATTAGTTTGCATGAAGATGCCAACTTGTCTGCAAACACCTCCCAAACAACAAGACAACTGGTATTTTAAACATGATCCAAAGTGAAATTTGTACCTTTATTCTTGGCAATGTGTTGGTAAGGCCAACCGTCACTTAAGGTATATTCTTCAATTCTAATTTGTGGTGCACGTTTTCAAAGTTTCATTCCAGCTGGAGGAATAAATGGTGAATACTTGTGAACAAGTTAGCGATTGTTATCAAGGGGTCACCAACCAGTCTCTTGGTCTATGTGACTGAAACCTTGTACTGCAGTCATCGACTGAAGCTGCCATATGTAATTTTGGAAACATGCCATCAAGACAGACTGTTTTGAGGTTGAGGTGTTGCAATCTCCTGCAGTGGAGGATTTATTTATTATTATTTTTAACTAGAAGTGCTGTTCAACTTTGAGATTTCATAATGAGTATTAAAGTTAAGTAGCACTCATAGCCGAACGGCAGTAAGTAAATAGTCTTAATTTAAACTGTGGTCCCGCTGTGGTTTCGGAGCCAGTTTCAGAAATGTTAAGAAAAGAAACAAGTTTAACTTCTTGTGTCCTATGTGCCATTGTTTGTGATGAAAAGAGCAAGGTATTACAATCCTAAATAGGCACTCCTCCACAATCCCCTGTAGTCTCATCCGCACATATGGCTGCTGTGAGGTTTCTCATGCTTTACTACTTGCTGCTACTACTGTGGATCAGAGTTCCCTATTCGAATACTTCCGCTTATAATAGGACAGACATAATTTTGCTTACTTTTCCAGTCATATCCTGCCTG